AAATCGACACCGCGGTCGATTCACTCTCCACCCTTATTAAATCCTCCCTTAAGGAGAACGAAAGGGTCGTCCCGGTTGCTAACAATAGTGGGCTTCCCCTACATATTAGCAACCTAATTAAAGCCAAATAAGCTGCTTTCCGGAGAGCAGCAAAATATCCCACCCCCGAATATAGGCGCGCGGCCAATCGTCTTCAACGAAAACTCCGCTTCCGCCTCTCTGAATTTCAAGATCTCGAAAAGAGTAAGCTCATGGAGAATATCTCTCCATCTCACACAGCGTACTATCAGATGGCTAGAGCCCTCCGCATAGACGCTATCACCCACACTCCCCCTCTCTCCTGTCCCGACGGCACGGTTGCCTTCGAGGACGAGGAAAAGGCTGAGTGCTTTGCGGATAGCATTGCCGCTCAATGCTCCCCTAGTTCTCAACCTGTCGACCCCTCACACATCCAGGCAGTGGAGGATGAGGTCCGCCGCCGGAACTCACCCCCCACGGCCTCCGAACCTATCTCTGTGTCCAATGATGAGATTTCATCTCTCATCAAAGGACTTAAGCCCAAAAAGGCTCCGGGCGCGGATGGCATCTCCAACCAAGCCCTTAAACACTTTCCCGAGCAGGTGTTAACCTTTTTATCTATTATCTTCAACGCCTGCTTCAACCTTAGTTATTTTCCCACTACGTGGAAAGAGGCAACTGTGATTGGAATTCCCAAGCCAGGCAAGCCTCTCAACCTCCCCCTCCAGCCATCGCCCCATTAGCCTCCTCAAGGCAATGGGCAAGCTCTTCGAAAGAGTCATTCAAACGCGTATGAGGCGCTTTCTGTTTCCCACAGACGGCGACCCTCTCATCATCCCCCACCAATTCGGCTTCCGAGCCAAACACTCATGTCCCCAACAAGTTCACCGCATTGTGGAATATATCCTCAGCGGTTTCTACCCTCGACGTCATAAAACCATCGCGGTCTTCTTCGATATAGCCAAAGCTTTCGATAGAGTCTGGCACACAGGCCTCATCTACAAGCTCTATAAAATAGGTCTCCCCGATCGTCTAGTTCGTCTCGTGGCCTCCTATTTAAAACATCGTACCTTTCGTTTTAGACACGAAGGCACGCTTTCTTCACAGCGAACTATCAAGGCTGGTGTCCCTCAGGGCTCAGTACTTGCTCCTCTGCTGTACATCCTGTTCACCAACGACATTCCCATCCCGTCGAAAGGTGTTCAACTCTCCCTCTTTGCAGACGACACTGCCATCTACTGCAAAGGTGTCTCACTACCCTTCATACGGAACAAGATCCAAAAGTCAGTTGATGACCTAGGAGCTTGGTTCAAAAAATGGCGCATCGATGTGAACCCGGAGAAGAGCTCCGCCGTTCACTTCGATTATAAACGACGCCGTCTCAAAAACACTCCTCCAATACGTATGCTAGGGACCCCTGTCCCCTGGCATACGTCCGCCAAATATTTAGGTGTCACTCTAGACACAGGGCTTACTTTCAAGCCCCACGTCAAAAGAGTAACCCGTCACGCACGATTTTATCTGAGTAGGCTCAACAGTATGTTGGGACGACACAGTAAAATGTCCCTTCGTAACAAGCGTACTCTCTACAAGGTATGTATACGACCAGTCATGTCCTACGCGGGCCCCGTCTTTGCCCACGCAAACCCTAACATTTTAAATGAACTCCAAATAGTTCAGAACCTATTCTGTCGTCGAGCTGCGAACGCACCGTGGTACGTTCGTAATGCCGACCTTCATCGGGACTTAGAGCTCCCAACAATTCAACAATTTCTTAAAAAACTCTCTGAGAACTTCTTCAAAGCCTCAGAGTCGCACCCAAACCATTTAATTCGTGAGGCAGCTTCTTATGCAGCCCCACCCCCCTCTCGCTATCGTGTCCGCAGGCCGAGAAACTCTCTCTCGGACCCGCCTAATAAACTTTCAAACGACCTGAACTGTCTCCTGGCGGCTCAGGCCAACTCTAATTAAATAAAATTATTGTAATATCAGACATTAATTTGCCTTCGTAGGCACTCCCTCAGCGGCACTTAGCCGCCTGCGCCCTCTTTTCCCAAAAGAGGGTCGCTCATGATAAGGCACAATAGAGCTTAATCAGCCGGTTGCCTGTCCCCAAAGGCGGTTTTTAGGGGGTATCACTTAGGGTCCCCGGTAGGACAGTGAGTCCCCCATAACCACGATAGACCGGCTATCGTGGTATGCGTAATGCATTTTCCGCCTCCCTACGTACAGGGTAGCCCTTTAATTGCTTCGGGCGCAAAAAAAAAAAAAATGTAAGTTCACAGTCGGCCGGCTACACTGATTCGACCCCCCACGCCCCTGGAAATTGTTGTTAAATGTCGATTAACATGTAAAGGAACCGATCCAGAAGTGAAGTCAGTTAACAAACACTGCAGTAGTGCGGCGGATTTATTGCTCAATAACCCTCTCAGAAACGGGAAGGGGACTTAGGTTTATGACGATGTGATGAGTTAGAGCACAGCACTGACCGTTAAGACCACCACAAGGTTGGTACCACCCCAGTGGTTGGTATCAGTGGTGTTCTGGTTCGAACAGCAAGCTAGCCAGTAGCTACTAAGCTGTGAGTCAGTTCATCTCAGCCCTAAGACGCGACAGTGCATTTTGCACATTGCATGTGTCCAGGAGACGATGTCCATGACACTGCATCGAACACGAATATTACAGCAAGTAAACATACGCACACTCACGCCAAGCACTTTTTCTTAAAACTCGACAGACTCAAAGCGACAGAAGCTTACTTCTAGAAGGCGGACTGCAAACTGAGAAAGTCGTGGGCTCGTGGGTTTGACGCCATTCGGCTTCTTTCATAAACCACCCCTAATGCCCAAAATGCTTGTTATTTAACTAAAATAGAAAAAAGAAAAGTAAATCCGCGCAGTGCAATATCCACTGCTCCATATCGTCCCTGCGTGTCGTAACAGGAGACAGGAAAACAAGCCACGAGATGGGCAACAACAGTTTCTTAACGACAACTCGGAAATGATTTTTTAAGTGGTAGAGCCATGCTGCAGCTGTATTAGTAGTATAGTTGGAGCTCGACCGGGGAAGTACCACGCTTTCACAGAATACCAGCGTCAAATAACAGCTTAACGCTGATGTTTCGTATGGTAAGTGTAGAGAACTGAATACTCGTTTTACTGGAAACAAAGCATTCCATCTTAGTCCTCACACATGACAACGCGTCTGCATTTTGATTCGTAATCGAGAATAGACGTAGATGTCTATGGGCCACAGCAACCACTTACCATTAGTCGAACTGTGTGCTCGTTTGTCACCCTTAACCTATAAAAAAATACTACGGTTGCCAAGCGTGGCAACTATGGCAAATACCATCCGTATGAGGCAATCTTTGGGTCTATGTTCAGCAGAGGACTTTGATATAATGAAATTAATGGATGAAAGAATAAAGTCTAGTATTATTTAAACAATTTCATATTCAACAGTTATCTGTACAATGTTCAGGTGGTTTGGAGGCACTGTCAACCGCTCCGAGCAAAGCGTGTCTTAACTGGGAGTTAGTTAAGAATAATATTCCTTGGAGTGTATTATTTGTAATAGGTATGTTTATTCCTGTTTACTCCAAAACTTAATTCTTATACCGTAAATGCCGGTGTAAGAGTACAAAGTTCAGTAATGAGTGTGCAGCGGGGAGGTGCATCTGGCGTGCAAATATACACTCTTTTTTAGTCTCCTAAAGTTGTACAATATGTCCAAAAAGTTGTGTAAAGAGGTCTAATGAGGTGGTCACTACCAAGCTAGTTTGAATTTGGTTTTGGGACTTACGGAACAGAAAAGTGGTCCTTCACTGCTGGACGTACGAAGAAGCTGGAAGTCACTCTCTTACGCCGCAACTACACAAACGACCGGGGAAGGACCAAGGTCTCACGAAACACCAGCGTGATATAGCATCTTAATTCTGCAGTGTTTCATATGGTGAGTGTAAAGAACAGGAGAGGTGAGTGTAGGTAACTGGAAACGAGGCATTCACAGGAGTAGCCACGGTATCTACTTACCATCTGGTGGGCTATGTCCTCGTTTGTCATCCGTATACAATATAAGAAGGTAAATTTTAACAGCGTATTAATAATCGTAATAGCGCATGTGGGGATGTCGGGCGGTAGGGAAGTCATAGTGCCCTGGTTCGCGTCCTGTCTTTGGTCCGACTTTTTTCCTTTTTTTTCAAGTTCCCTCCCTTTGTGAGAAAATCTATTATTTCGAGCCCTTTTTTTAGTATTTTTTTAAAAATACGAAAATTTAAATTAAACTAATTGCACTCATGATTTTTTATTCAAATAACCTATTCAGTTTTTTCTATTATGTCGATAAGATCAAAAAATATTATTCATTTTTCATCAGTATGTAATTTATATCTAAATATGATTTCCAAAAAACACGATTTCCAAAAAAAAAAATACATCATAAAAAATATATCGTCCAGGTACTAAATCATTAAGTAACTAACATTTATTTCTACGTAATGTAAGATATGTATGTAATCTTCTTGTTCAACAGTTACTTGTTCAACAGTTACTTGTTCAACAGTTACTTGTTCAACAATTACTTGTTCAACAGTTACTGTGTAGTAGCGGTAAGAATAACCACTACCCAATATCGTTCCGTGGGTGGCGTAATACGGGACAGAGGGAAACAAACCGGGAGATGGGCAGCAATACCTTCCTGATAACTATAAAAATATACTGCGGTAGCCCCCCCCCCCTCCCCAGAGGCAATCTATGGAGGAGGCATGTGTTCAGCAGGGGAATTTTGATAGGCTGTAATTGCAAAAAGGCGCATACTTCACATACCCATCAAATGTATTTTATTTCTCAGATGGGCAGTTTTCATAAAGATGATTTCCTTTACCCTAAAGGACCTAATCGGCAACAGTAGCCCTCTGACAACACTGGTTTACATTTTTAGGTGGCAGTAACACAATATTCGATGCGTTAAGGCTTTCAAAAATGACGGAAGAGTTCGAGAAGTTTCTTCTGCTATTCTCCGGCTGGCCAGCGCCCGCGTTGGTGCTGATTGTCATCGTATTCTGCAAACTCCTTACTGAGTTCGCCTGCAACTCCTGCGTGGCGCACGTTATGCTTCCGCATATTGCTAAATTGGTTAGTTCAAAAAACTTTAGCCATCTGAAATAAAACTATAATTAACCTTTCAATGGGCACACGGTCGGATCCGACCTAGGCGATGTTCCGTCAAAATTCAAGCGGTCGGATTTTACGCACTTTAACTCATAAATACTTATATATAGAGACTACTTTTACATGAAGAAGTTTGGCAGTATAGAATCTATACGAAATTTTCTATCCTGTGGTCTAAATAAAAGTCAGTTAATCTATGTATTTTTATTTTTATTCTACTGTCAATTTACGACATTTGCCGACCATACGAAAATGGCGCAATTTGTTAAGCCCACAGGATAGAAAATTTTGTATTAATTCTATAATGCCAAACGTCTTCATAGAAAAGTAGTCTTTAAATATAAGTTTTAATGGTTTAAAGTATAGAACTATACTCCCTGAAACGACACTCAGTTCTAACTGCAAGACGCAAGAGTCTCACAGGCTTAGTCTTGTTTTTGCTCAAATCTTGCACGGTCAGTCTTGGTCTTGGTCTTGCTAATATTAGATGGTCTTGTTCTTCGCCTTGGTCTTGCAAAAATGCAAGAACAAGACCAAGACCGATTTTGGGCAACACTAATTGAAAAGTTGCGATTTAATTTGATGGTTTTCGGTTTCTAGTGTGTTTAAATTTTTAGACGTTTTTAACTTTTTTTATTTTTCTTTAAGGAATATCTGTAATTTGGTTCATCCATTTCTATTAAATAATAAAATGTATAACTAATATTTTAGAAAGAAGCATTAATCTCTACACTTTTCTAACATATTAACTTCTGTCGCTATGAAATCTATCAAATATTTCACCCCTTTCCAAAGTGACACACGGCACCACTTTTTTAAGTGGTAGAGCCATGCTGTAGCCATATTAATTGTATAGTTGTAGCACGAATGGGTCGGCTCGACCGGAGAAGGAGCACGCTCTCACAGAACACCAGCGTCAAATAACAGCTTAATGCTGCTGTGTTTCGTATGGTGAGTGTAGAGATCCAGAGACCCTTTTTACTGGAAAAGAGGCATTCCATCTTAGTTCTCAAGGCTGACAATGCATCTGCATTTTGCTTCGCAAACGAGGATAGATGTAGATGTCTATGGGCCACAGCAATTCTATTCAAAAAAAACTTACCATCAGGTGGACTGTGTGCTCGCTTGTCACCCTATCCTATTAAAAAAATATTTTTTTACCTTTTCCTATTAAAAGAAACACCCAGGTGGCAGAAAAAGCCGTTAATGCTCTTATTGTTGGTTTATGAGTACATGACCTCTTACGTACATTGGTAATTTGTTGCAGAGTGTAATGTCAAAAGTAAATCCTCACTATCTGATGTTGGCAGCAACGCTCTCTACATCTCTTCCCTTCCACTTGATGACTGGCACGCCAGCTAATGCCATGGTATTGGCGTACGTTCACGTTCCGCCAAGGAATATGGTATGGTGTAAGGAACATTTTATAATGATTAAAATAGGATATAATGATTAAAATATATAGGACAAACAAAAAAATCAATTAGAACCCGCGTAAAAGAACATATAGCTGATGTGAAGCATCAACGTTCCGGGAAGTCTGCAGTTTGTGATCATATCCTAGACGGCCCCAACCATTACATCAGATTTGATAGACCACAAATCCTCGCGAAAGAACACCGATTCCTACCAAGGATGATACGTGAGGCTATTGAAATTAAAAAACATCCTAATTTCAATAGAGAAGGAGGCTGGGTACTACCACCTGCTTGGGATCCTATAATCAATAAAATTAAAACTAAACCCAAGCATACCACTGCAAGACCTCAGGACATAGTAAGTTCATTTTACATAGATCGGACCATAAACAATAATTAAAAAAGCTGAAGGTACTCCGGGTTTAACAATGACATCGGGACGTCAGTCATCTCAGTCTCACCCACCCCCGTGACCATGGGTGTTGAAAAGCGCCCGAAACGTCGGGAATTAAAAATAAAAGTAATTAAAAGCAAAAATAAACGCGATAAAATCCGTAAAAGTAGTTTTAATCATGTGTAGTGTTCGCGTAAATATAAGAAATCATTATGTAAACATTTTATAAAATTAAAAAATATTAGTATTATAGATATAAGTATTTTTAAAAATGTGACAATTGTAAAAAATATATAAAGATAAAAACTGACGGCATTACACTGTGACACTATAATATTATATAACATTATACAATTTCTATAGAAATGTTTGTTACATAGACTTAAAATATACTGGCGTATTGTTATAACATCTACTCAGAAGTAACTTCAATTGATTAGAGTGTCATAAAACAGAAAAAATAGAAACAGACATTTACGCTAACACTTCTAAACAGAAATAACCAAAATATGAACTTCCTTTTGCGCTCGCAGCAGTCTGGTAAATTATTATTATATGATCGCAGCCAATCGCGATGTTTTATTCTAGCCCTTATCAAGTATAAGTTTACTCTCTTCTGTTTCATGTTTGTATATCACTGCAATTCATCTTCCTACATATAAATAAAATTGAATTGACTGTGCTGTGTATAATATTGAAATAACTACCTACTTTGAGCTCAAGGGGTTATTTGTACGCTATTAAGATATAATTAAACGTTCTAAACATTTTGTCTTTCTATCTGCCTGTCTGTCTGACCGGACTAAGTTCTTCGGAATGACTGAATCTATTGTGGTGAAAATACATAAACAGACTCACAAAACTCGCTAGCTATGTAAACGCAGCAACCTACGCTCCGACACCAAACGTTAAACATAGCCTAGGCATGTCGATCTAAAATCGATTAATCGAAAAATCGACTCTTTGGAGTAAAATTATCGATTTTTTAGATCGATTCGAAGGACCGCATCGATTCACTGAATCGATCCAAAAAACCTCTTGAATCGGAATGATTCATTTGATTCAAGAACTAGCCAAAATTCCCAAACTGGCTGGGGTAAGATACCACAGTTTTTTAATTTTTTGCTGTTGGGGGACGCAAAAACAACCGGTCGTACTTGGTTGATAATTTGAACGCAATATATATTTGAATAAAATAAATGTTTATGAACGCATCCAACAATATCAAAAAGTTGTCATTTCATTTTCACTTCCAAAATTCTTAAGCTCACTTTCCACTAAGGGATTTAATGTAATTTATATTACATCTCGAGATAGAAATTAATATCGCTCACCGTACTTTAAAATGGAACCGTTTCCACTGAGATATAATATATATTACATCCCAAACTAAAAATATTTTTATATATATATATATATATATATATATATATATATTTTCATATTATATTTCACCTCCTGTACTATAATATAATATAATATTATAGCTGTGAACCTGTTTGAACTGTGAACTCGTGAATTTACATTATTTATTATCAAAAATATACATACTGTGAGCTGTAAATACAGACAGAGTACTTTTTAAATACCTAGATACTGTAAATAAATATTATACCGTACGATGAAGTTTATAGAGGTTTATAGTAAGGAAATACCCAGTATTGTGTTAGTGTAGCATCCATTTCAATATGATAAATAGTGAGTTACTAGATTGTGTTTGCATTTTTGTTAAAGTATTGTTGTTGTTTTTAGCCTAAAATGTCAAATAAAAGTGTTACGTGGAATTACTTTGTAAAAAAATGGTAGAGTGGAGTATGTGCGAACCACTCCTAACACAAGCGTTTCAAGCTTACCAGGAGTGGTTAAAAGGAATATTAGTAATGTTAATCAATAAGATTACTAATATATTATTTAAAAAAAATATTACAGTTTAGAAGTTTAAGAAAAAAAATAGAAAATTCTTGAAATTTCATGTTTGAAAATGTCGCGATTAATCGAAGATCGATCTTTTAATCCTCGATTTAATCGATAATCGATTCAAGTACCTTCGATTCAAATCGATTCAAAGATCGATTTTTTTAAGAGTAAATCGACATGCCTAACATAGCCTCCGTAACGTTTTAATTGAACCCCCAGTTACCATAGATTCCGATGACACAAATGTCGCCGGCCCGTCACACATAGACTACACATTTTCATTCAGCTAGTGCCACATGGCTAATATGTACTTTAATAAGGCTGTTGGTTAGCGGTGGGTAGTAGCGGCTTCTTTGAGTAACGAAACGAATCTATCTATCGAATATCAATAGCGGCTTTTGAAACACTCTATTTTAATAGAGGGTTTGGAAACATTCTATTTTAATAGCGGCTTCAATAGAGTGTTTCACGACGTGTTCAATTGCAAAACGTTGCGACCGTTGTTACCGTTTCGTATAGAATTAGACATGGTGTTAATGGTTAAATTTATTTATTTGTTAAATCAGTTCGCACGGTTTGATAAAAATATCACTTCGAAGTACACTGGCATTACTTCGAGACATTTTTGATAACAATCACATAAAGTTTTAGTATTATTTTTACACTTAGTTATTTACACTAATTACTGTACAATTATTATTATCAACACTAATATATACAATGATATTTAGTTTTTATTTTACTAAAAATATTATTATTGTTGCACAAAAAGGAAACAAACGCGCCTAAAAAGTAAAAACAAACCGTGTCATTAAACTTAAACAAAAGACTAATGTAAACCGGGCCAAGGCCACTTAAATTATGGTATTTGAACTATTTTTTGTTAAAAACATGTACACTTACTTTCTCATTTTTAATATCGCATCTATACGAAGGAAATAGAGTCATAGGTCAAATGCAAAAGCACACGCGCTCACTCGACTTTCGACAACCGGTGGTACTTCTACCACAGCGTAAAAAGTCGGTTTTTTTACTCATGTGCTTCTACTTCAACAGCCGAAGACGTCGCCGACGCGTCGCGAAAATAGCCGAATAAACGTTTTGTTAGTGATCGCTCGTTCGTGATTCGTGAAACGTGAATCGTGTTACTGAGTAAAACGTCTACTGTAATAGATAGTTTCGTTGCACTGCAATAACCCGCTACTCGCTATTGTGTGAATAGATAGTTTCAGTAACTAGTTACGTTTCGTAACGACCACTCCTACTGTTGGTGTTTTTCAACAAAAAAGTTCGATCTATATTAAGTAACGACACAATGGGTGCGTTTGGCAGAAAAAAGCGCTAGCAAGCGCTTGTAAACAAAATGGCGATCGTAAGCGGTAAGCGCTGTCAAATCGTAAGTAGCTATTTTCCTCCAGGACACGATGTTAGTTTTAACCGGGGAATCTAACCTAATTTAAATATATGTTTGTAAAGTATTCATATTAAAAACTTACCAATCATGAGTTTTTAATAGCATGTAGGTATATGTTTATTCATGTCATTATATTACTTAAAACTAATATTGCACAAAACAACTTATAAACTCTACTTCAAAACAAACAAATTAAATAAGCAAAATGGCGGATTGTGTCAGCGCTACTGAAGTAGCAATCGTGTCCTGGCCGAAAACTATTTTAGCGCTTATAAGCGCTTGCTAGCGCTTTTTTCTGCCAAACGCACCCAATAAAAGAAGTATATACAATAGAGGAATTATACAATATTATTCCGAATATATTTTTTATAGAATAAGTATAACAAACGAGTACATAATACGCCTGATTGTAAATGGATGCTGTGGTCCACAGACATCTACATTTATCGTCACTGAAGGATCTAAATGTCACCCCTAAAGACTAAGATAGAGTGCCTTGTTACGATGGTATCGTGAGTTTGTAGCGATGGGCGTTAGTGAAATTCGGCAGTTGGTATAAATCTGAGCATAATGATTTCTTATATTTACGCGAACATTACACATTGATTAAAACTACTTTTACGGATTTTATCGCGTTGAATTATATTTTTAATTATTTTTATTTTTATTTCGGGTGCTTTCCATGGTCACGGGGGAAGGTCCATGAAGTTGGCACCCGGAAATAATTATTAAAAATGCGACTAGTATAAATCGATTGCGCGTAAAAAATGATGTTTATCGGTACTAATTATTTGTTTGCGCGTCAAATATTTGTTTACATATTTAAAAAAAATAAGCCGGGTGCTGTGAAATAATAAATTTTTATTTTTTGCTTAAAAATGACGGTAAAAGAATAATTAAAAAATTTAAATTTGTAGGATTTCACATGCGCAATCAGCACCCGATATCAGTTTATCCATAAGTTAGTTATTAACATCGTAAATAAATAATCCCATAACTTCAGCCGCAGCACCCGAGCTCGAGAGTGCAATATCCCTAGTACACTAGCGCTTAAAGCGCTTTTTTCTTTAGTTGGCAGCAACAGCTTCCTAAAGAGCTTTGCCAAAAACTTATTATATTATTTATGACTTTATTGTTTAAAATCTTTTTAGTTTCCATAAAAAGTTATAGTTAAAAATTGAAACCTCTTTTATACCTGTCTCATTTTTAATAATTATTTACGGGTGCCAACTTCATGGACCTCACGGGGGACTGAGGTTGACTGACGTCCCAATGTCATTGTTAAACCCGGAGTACCTTCAGCTTTTTTTTAATTATTGTTTATGGTCCGATCTACGCAAAATGAACTGATTATGTCCTGAGGTCTTGCAGTAGTATGCTTAGGTTTAGTTTTAATTTTATTGATTATAGGGTCCCAAGCAGGTGGTAGTACCCAGCCTCCTTCTCTATTGAAATTAGGATGTTTATTAATTTCAATAGCCTCACGTATCATCCTTGGTAGGAATCGATGTTCTTTCGCGAGGATTTGTGGTCTATCAAATCTGATATAATGGCATTCCTCTGATTCTTTCTGAGCATTTCCTCTGGTTATTGGACGGCTTAAGACCTTGTGGCCGTGAAGGGAAAGGGGAGATCTCCCGCCGGGCAAGGTGTTCTGCCCGGGGAGCGGCCAACACTCAGAGTGATAGTTCGGAGATGTTCTATATATACTGTTTATGATTCGGAATTTTTGATAGCGTGATTTAGGCTTCGGCGTGTTTCGCTTGCGGCACAACGACAGCGCCGCCACATCACCCCCCTGCTCAGACCGGAGGTCGATAGTGCAGTCTTGTTGTCGACGAATGTGCAAGTGCCAGGAGATTGCCTTGTAGTCTGCGGTGAGCCGAGAAGAAGGCAAGTAATCTGCGAGAGTGCCGAGAAGCAGAGGCGAGCAGTAAGGCTCAGAGCCGTGCCGAACACTGTAGCGCAGAGTGTAGCCCGAGGGAACAGGTAGCATTATTATTCCAGTGCTGCGATGAACCTTGTGAAGCTAGATGGCTTGCAGGATATGAAGACTGCAGACGATATCTGCTCGGGAGCGAATGGGTGGGGTATTTTACAACGATGATGAAGCTTAAAGTTTCCGAAGGTTGTTGGTTGCGTGTTCAGATCACGTCGGGTTCACCACTGTGGCCGTGAAAGGAAAAGGGGAGATCTCCCGCCGGGCAACGTGTTCTGCCCGGGGAGCGGCCAACACTCCGTGTGATAGTTCGGAGATGATCTATGTATATACTGTTGATAGCGTGATTTATGCTTCGGTGTGTTCGCTTGCGGCGCGACGACAGCGCCGCCACAACCTTAACAGAAATGTTGATACTGCTAATAATTTTTAAGTTCTACAGGAAATTAAAAAATATTTCGAAGACGTGATGTTCACAAACACGCATTGGGCCAGCGCGGTGGACTTTTCCTAGCCCTGAAACCTTTTTAGAAATGAGAAGAAGCCTGTGCCCAGGAGTGGGACGTAGTAAGCTGTAACTTAATAATTCTTAGATGGTACGTAACTTGATTGTTTCTTTTTACAGTTACGTGCCGGCATCGGACCTTCGATTATAGCAGTGATAGTAATATGGTTCACAGTGACGATGTGGTCCAAAGCCATATGGACCGAGATCAACTTGTTCCTAAAATGGGCAGACATGAATACACTAGCATAAATTATTTTTGTTACAATGTTCCGCAATAAAGGAATGCAGAATAAAAAATAACTAAATGCAATTATTTTTTAATTTTGGTTTTGGATATATTCCGATCTGCACTGCTCGGTGCTCTCCCTGGTAAAAAATTCGTTCCGTAATAGACTGCCGGTATACTGCCGCAGTACCCTAGGGAAAAATATGACGTCATGAATCGCCGCCATTTTTGTACTGTGTAGTGTCATTCATAGATAAGACTGTATATACGGGTGGCATTTACCATCAGGTGGACAGTAGGTTCGTTCACTTCAGATTTATAAAGCTATTAATATGGCCAAAGTGCCTAAATACTGTGTAAAAGAAAAACCGTAGCCATCATTTTTGTTGTCAATAAATTAAGATATTTGTTCGTGTATATCACATAAGTAACAAATGTAGGGCATTCAAAAAAAATACGTTGGTCATATATTTTTGTATAAGCTCACCAAACCTGGGTCATTCCGCGCTTTCACAGTTAGTATTGCAAGCAACCAAGTCTCGGCGTCTCTTATAGTATGTAGTACATGTTACTTCAATGTCCTCGAAACGGATTATCAGTGACCTGGCACAGATTGATGATTGATGATTCAGTTGTTCTTGGTGAGAGTCATTCTGTTAGTAGATGTCAACCTTGCCGTTCATCTTAGTCTGATGTAAAGTTAGACCTTCTTGGTAGATCTTCTACGGACAGGAAATCAAATCGGTTAACTATAGTTGTTGACATTTATGGCTATGAAATAAGTATCTGTAAATATGTTGTCACAAGTCAGAAGCTTTATCTTTAATTTAGTTGTTTGTATAACTCATTTACATATTATTGCATTACTTAAATATTATTGGGATATATCAATATTCCCATTTAGGTAAAAGAAACTCATTTATGTATTAAGTTGTAGTGTAACAAAGTCGTAAATATAAAATTCAGCCCTTATTTACAAATATAGCACCGGTGAGTTATATGTACTATGTACCAGAGAAGCTATTCCAAACAAAAAATGTGCACTACTCTGTATCAGCACATGCGCGGAAAACAGTAGTTGAGAAAACTGTCATAATAAATAATTGTCTATTTAGATTGTATTGTTAATCGCGTACATTTTTTTTTTAATTTTCGTTTACTTTGCATATGTGTTAATTTAATATAAAATTAAATTAACACATATTATATATATATATATATATATATATATATATATATATATATATATATATATAGTGTGTAAGTGTTGTCACTGAAACCATAGGTACCATAGATACATATACATAGATACCATAGGAAACCATAGGCTTTAATATAAAAATATTGATCCGATTTAAAAAAAAAACGCTATTTTCTTTCATAAAATTAAAATAGTTTTTGTCCGACACCGTCCGTAAATTCATGGACCCTATGCGGCCGAGTGACGTAATCACTGTAAAGATCACCGCTCGCCCTTGCTACCTACACAACATTTCAATAAAAATACAATGGTACACATAACCTATGATGTAACTTTTCCTTCGTACTTTCTTACTGGCTTAGGACAGTCAAAAATTCCTACCCTTTGTGTTGCGTGACGAGTCCAAATTAATGTAAGTTAGATTTAACAACAAAGAAAATTAAACATTAATAATAGTAATATAATAATAATATGCCGTGTAGTGGCGGTTAAGAATATCCACTACCCCATATCTTCCCGTGGGTGTCGTAAGAGGCGACAGAGGGAAACAGGCAGGAGATGGGCAGCAGCATCTTCCTGATAACAGCAACTGTACGACAAAAAAACTGCGGTTGCCAACCCGCTCGCCAAGCGTGGCAACTATGGCAATATACCCCCCATGAACAATTACGCAAATAGACGGCCCCTAGTACCCGGCGACTCCGCTATTCCTGGCTAAGGTGGCGACCATGGTAACGGCGGGGCAGGGGGTGCTAAGAATCTCCGGTGGAGGTTCGGTTGCCACCTACGACGACTCGACCTGGCAACATTTAACGCACGCACACTGAAGACTGACGAGAAGATCCTGGAGCTGGAAGAAGAGATAGACAAGTTGCGCTGGAGTATTATAGGATTATCCGAGGTCCGAAGAGAGGGGGAGGACACGGTGATTCTCGAATCCGGCAACTTGTTCTATCACCGGGAGGGCGACCATCTGTCCCAAGGAGGTGTCGGATTTATCGTCCACAAGTCTCTCGTCAACAACGTTGTAAAGATTGGGAGTGTGTCGACGAGGGTCGCGTACCTGATACTCAGAATCACCAAACGGTATTCGCTGAAGGTCATACAGGTTTACGCACCAACCTCGGCACATTCCGATGAGGAGGTGGAGGAAATGTATGAGGATATTTCCAAAGCCACGCATTCCTCCAAAACCCACTACACGGTGTTGATGGGAGACTTCAACGCAAAACTAGGCACAAGAGAAAACGGTGAGCTGAAATTAGGGAAATTTGGAGTAGGGCAACGGAACCGAAGGGGCCAGCAGCTGGCCGACTTTATGGAGAAAGAGAGACTCTTTATGATGAACTCTTTCTTCCAGAAGCGGCCCCACAGGAAGTGGACCTGGTCGAGCCCCGACGGTTCGACAAAAAATGAGATTGACTTCATTATGACGACCAGACGCCAACTGTTCAGTGATGTCTCAGTGATCGCAAGGGTGAAAATAAAAAGGTTCTGAAAACTGGCATCGATCACCGAATGGTTAGAGGCACACTGAACCTAAACGTTAAGTTGGAGAGGTCTCGTCTAATGAAGTCAACGCTCCGTCCCCCTCGTGCTCTAATCCAGAATCCCGAAAACTTTCAGCTCGAGTTACACAACCGCTTTCAGTGCCTACAAGATTGCAATGCAGTGGACGATATGAATGGCAAGCTCGTGGAAACTGTCCATGCGGTCGGAGCTAAGTTCTGCAAGACCCGCCGCAGAAGAACACAAAAACTCTCCGATCACACTCTTAATCTCATGGCTGTTAGACGGGAGATGAGGCTGCAATCGTCAACAGATTTGACAGCATACAGGCAACTGAACAGACAGATCTCCAAATGCATGCGGCGAGACTTACGCAACTTTAATACTGCTCGTATTAAAGAAGCGATCGAGCGGAACCAGGGCTCCAAAGTCTTTGCCAGAGATCTGTCTGCCCGTAAGAGCCAACTGTCAAAGCTGAAGACTGAGTGTGGCAGCATCGTTTCCGGGACACCTGAGATTTTGAGTGAGATTGATAGGTTCTATGGGCAGCTGTACACATCATCGTTGGAGCCACACGCAAGTGTGAGTAACGATCCAAGAGCAAGTCTTATCCGACACTATTCCGATGATATCCCCAACGTCAGTCTAAGCGAGATTAGAATGGCTCTCCAGCACCTTAAAACGGCAGGGCCCCAGGCAAGGATGGAATTACAGCGGAGCTTCTGAAAGCGGGTGGAACACCGGTACTTGAAGTCCTTCAGAAGCTCTTCAATTCCGTCCTCCATGGTGGCACTACTCCAGAGGCGTGGAACAGAAGTGCGGTGGTCTTGTTCTTTAAGAAAGGCGACAACGCTCTCTTGAAGAACTACAGACCGATTTCCCTTCTGAGCCGCGTCTACGTGCTGTTTTCGAGAGTCATTACGAATCGTCTCGCACGCATACTCGACGACTTCCAGCCTCCCGAACAAGCCGTTTTCCGAAAAGGCTTCAGTACCATAGACCACATACATACCCTGCGGCAGATTGTACAGAAGACTGAAGAGTACAATTTGCCACTTTGCCTGGCGTATGTGGACTATGAGAAAGCCTTTGATTCCGTCGAAATTTGGGCGGTGCTGCAGTCCCTTCAGCGGTGCCAAGTTGACTGTCGGTATATCGAAGTGCTGAAGTGTTTGTACAGTAGGGCTACGATGGCTATCCGAGTACAGAACCAGAGCTCGAAACCTATCCAACTGCAGAGAAGTGTAAGACAGGGTGACGTTATATCCCCGAAACTCTTCACCGCTGCTTTGGAAGACGTTTTCAAGCTACTGGACTGGAAAGGATACGGTATTAACATCAATGGCGAGTACATCACTCACCTTCGATTTGCCGACGATGTAGTCCTTATGGCAGAATCGCTGGAGGACTTAAGCACTATGCTCAATGACCTCAATAGTGCCTCCCAACGGATAGGTCTTAAGATGAACATGGACAAAACAAAGATCATGGTCGCTCAGCGAGCTATGGAGAGGGCTATGCTCGGAGTTTCTCTGCGTGATAGACTCAGAAATGAGGATATCCGCAATAAAACCAGAGTGACCGACATAGCCCAACGGATTAGTAAGCTGAAGTGGCATTGGGCCGGCCATATAGCTCGAAGAACCGATAACCGATGGGGAAGAAAGGTTCTCGAGTGGCAGCCTCGTACCGGTAGGCGTAGTGTAGGGCGACCCCCCACTAGATGGAATGACGACCTGGTAAGATATGCAGGAAGTCGATGGATGCAGGTGGCTCAGGACCGTGCTTTGTGGCATTACTTGGGGGAGGCCTATGTTCAGCAGTGGACTTGTGAAGGGCTGTAATGATGATGATGATGATGATGGCACAGATCTGGTGGAACAGCTTCAGTGGGCCGCCGTTAATATAATAAAACCTTATCCGTAAATATAAATTAAATAAAAAACTAGTAAATTTTTATATACTAGCGCGAATAGGTCGTCTCGACCGTGGAGCGACCACGCGCACACTGAATGTCAGCGTCAAATAACAGTTAAATACTGCCATTACATAAAAGTGTAGAGAATCGGCAGCCCTATTACTGGGAACGAGATATTCCACCACAGTCCTCAAGGGTGACAACGAATCTGTATATCGATCAAGGATAAATACAGACGTCTTTGGGCCATAGGATTCGCTTACCATCAGGTGGTTTATATGATTGTTTGTCACCCCTACCACAATAAGTGAGGTTGGCATTTGGAAATTAAGTCCACATATTCCCACTCCTACCGGAGTACATCCAATAAAAGAATATTCATCTATAAATATTTT